AAAGCTACACAGAAACCCTGTCTTGAAAAACCAAAGGGAAAAAAAGGAATACATGAAGGGTGACACACTACACACCATGTATCCAGTAGAGTCTGACCTGTTTCCTCGACGTCTTTTTCTCAAATGTTTAAGTGTAAGACAGACAAACAACTTCCAAGATCTAAGTGTCCAGCTTGATAAACCTAGATAAAAGGAATGTGTAGATGCAGACAGAACATTGCCAGGGCCTGAGAAATCTGCTTTGTGACCATTCCTGTACTATCAGTGCCCCTTTCCCCCATGGATCTGCTTGTGAATCTTTGCTGCCAAATCAGTGTCATCACACACACACACACACACACACACACACACACACACACACACACAGATAACTATCCTGGCAAATGAGTGTTGTCTAGTTTTGAACTCTGATTAACGGAATCATGCAGATTAATGGAATCATGGAGCCAGGACTCTTTGTCCTGGCTCCATGTCTCCACATTAAGTTTTTAAGATGTAAAGGACACATCTTGTTGTCTATTATGTGCAAGATTGTCTAAGATGGAGGGGCCGACTTTGTCAGCAACATGTACACACACCGGAACTTACATCCAGGGTGAAGGCATATATGCATGTGAAGCATATATGCAGAGTGCTTTCCTGTTGGTGTAGGGTGAGACTTGTGTAATTCAAGAGTGAAATTAAGAAAGCAATTCCAGTTATAGTAGCACCAAAAAGAATCAAGGGAGGGCTGGAGAGAAGACTCCGTGGTGCTTGCCTCTCTTGGAGAGGACCCAGATTCAGTTCCCAGCACCCACGTGGCAGCTTGAAACCAACGGTGGCTGCAGTTTGAGGGAATCTGACGCCCCCTTCTGACTGCCTCGGGCTCCTGCACACACATCCACATCCACACACTCAGGCACACAAATGTACACATAAAGTAATGTTTTTAAAGTTAAAAAGAACAGAGCGTTTAGCAAAAAATTCAACAATTGTACTCTGAAAACCATGAAAGTATTGAAAATGTTTTAAAGAGCCAAATAAATGAAAAGTCATTTTGTGGTCAGGAAGCAGATGACTTCTTATCATGAAGGTGGTCGTATTCTGAAAATGGATCCTCAGATTCTGTTTAATCCCCATCAAAATCCAAGCTATAAAAATGGATATCTGGTTTTTAAATTCATTTGAAACTGCAAAGGACTTGGAAGAGTAAACTAAGGAAAATCCTAAAAGGAGCTGGTGAAATCGTCATTAAACCACTTATGAACAGGGAGTCCCCAGTGACCTAATCGTCTTTCAGAAGCCTTCCCTCTTCAATATTCCTCCACACCCACCCTGTCACACTGAGGACCAAGCTTCCAACACCCCAGCCTTTGGGAGATACACTCAAACCGCAGCAAGTACACACCAACGTGGCAGGAGAGAAGATATCCTAAACACTCACACGGTCCCCTTCAGCTCTCAGACTATTGAGACAGTGAGCTCAAGGGAATTGACATTTCCCCCCAGGAGTCTCATTCTGGGGAAGGAAAAGCCTGAGACCTTGACATCAGCCAGAGGGGAACCTGTCTCCTGGAAGGAGACTGCGCACTATGCAGGACAGACTGAGAGCAAGCGGTGGAAGTCAGTGATGGACCACATCCTGACCGGAAATGCCCAGTTATGCATACCTCTTGCCCTCTATTTAAACCTCACATCAGTACTCCAAAGATGGATTCACGGCACAATTGGTCCTTATTTGTTCTTCACAGTCTGGACACATTGAATAAATACTTTTCTACTTGTTACTATTATTCACTTGTTGATTGGTCTGTTGAGGAGGATGGCCCAGCCTTGCTTGTTAGAGTTGCCAGGGTCCAGGTTCTGACCTTAACAACTTCAGTAGCAATATCAAGATATTGCTCACACACACACACACACACACACACACACACACACACACACACACACAGAGAGAGAGAGAGAGAGAGAGAGAGAGAGAGAGTCTCATT